TTCTCTTTACAACCCCATCTATTATATATTAAATAACCCACGGTGACTCAACTCATCTTGTCTAAGGCCTATTTTACTGGGAAATAATTTCCCTTCTTTCCTACCTACTCTACTTGAGCTCACTATCCTCGTTTAAAAAATCTCTTACTGCTTTCAGTAACCTCCCCTTCACCATACACTTGTGCAACATCTGCCACATTGCCCCCCTATCCACCTTCATTAGCCTTTTCCAAATCCATAAATGCCACAAAGACTCTTTAGCCTTATCTAAATACTGTTCCACTATATGTTTCACTGGTAAAACACCTGGTCCACCACCCCTACCTTTCCTAAAGCCGCTTGTTTCATCTGCTATCATAATTTTCCGTCTTCACTCTTAATTCTATCAATTTTTACTCTACCATACACTTTACCAGGTATATTCAAACAGATTATCCCCCTTATAATTTTTGCACTCTCTTTTATCCCCTTTGCTTTATACAAAGGACTATGCATGCTCTCTGCCATCCCTAGGTACCTTACCCTCTTCCATACATTTATTAAAATAATTGCACCAACCACTCCAATACTATATCCCACCTGCTTTTAACATTTCATCTACCCATTCAATCCCAGCTGCCTTAACCCCCCCCTTTTTTTTTTTTTTTTCATTTTACCATACTGCCTCACGAACTCCCCACACCCACTCACAACTGGCTCTTCCATCACTCTACAAGACGGTTATTCCTCCTTGCCCTATACACGAAATCACAGCTTCCCTATCTTCATCAAACAATTTAACAATTCCTCAAAATATTCCCTCCATCTTCCCAATAACTCTAACTCTCATTTAACCTTTGAGGGTCGACAGGGCCCTCTCCGGAAACTCGTTCTCAGGGTCGGCCAAATTTATTAAAAAAAAAAAAAAATTATTTTCTCTTATGAACAAGATAGAGAATCTTTTCCCGATCATAACGGACACCAAAGTTTGAAATTTGATAGAAAACTTACGGAATTATGCTCTCGCAAGTTTGCAGGTTCGGGAGCGTGTTTACGGATCGGCGATTTTGTTTACCACTTTGCGCCCCATTTTCGGCCAAAATTCACTGTACTAGTCGACAAAAAAACTGAATATTCGCTAGAACTCCCATTTTTTCTATCGAATGGGTTTGCAAGAAACCACCATTTATAAGTTCAACTATCCAGTACAGTGGTCAGAATTTAGCAATTTTGCCAATTTCACAAAAATTTTAAAAAAGATTGCCAATTTCGGAATAGGGTCCAGAATAAAAAAGAAAGACTTCCTGGCACTAAAATGACATTTCCTCTAGTCATTAGTCACGTCTCAAGGCCCCTCTTATATTCTTTTGCTTTCCACTTTGAATTTTTATTCTCACAAAAAATATAAGATTTACTGTTATGCAGACTACTGCATTAGTGTAAAAAAGGGTATAAATATTATTGGTGCACTTGTGAAAGAATTTTTAGACCCCACCAGTTGAGTGTATTGCACGCTTGGCACGATTTGTTTATTTTTTGAAGTTTGGTAAAAATCAAAACTTTTTTTGCTACTTTGAGCTCAATTTCAAGGCACCTTTCATTGTAAAAACCAGTCAAAAATCATCTCAATTTCAGTAATATGTCTTCCATTCTATAAAATGAGACCAAGAAAACTAGAATACAACAATAAATACTATACGAAAATACACTGCAAGTCGCTGATTTATTAAAAAAAAATGGAAAAAGTTTTTTTTTTTCATTATGCACCGTGTGCTGCAGGATTTTTTTTAGACTTTGGGACACTGACCACTTAGGACCCATTCTTTCATATGGAAGGCCCTACCAGCTTTCTCCCACTAGATTTGGGGGTCGCTAGAATTTATGAGTACTAGTACGTTTAAAAACCCTACGCGTAAGACGTACTAGTACGACGAAAACCCTCAAAGGGTTAATAAAATCTCCTCTCCTATTTTTAAAATGACAAATCCATTTGTTTCCCCTAGGCTTTCTTAACTTGTTTAAACTCACTCCAAAACTTTTTCTTATTTTCAACAAAATTTGCTGATAACATCTCACCCACTCTCTTCATTTGCTCTCTTTTTACATTGCTTCACCACTCTCTTAACCTCTCTCTTTTTCTCCATATACTCTTCCCTCCTTGCATCACTTCTACTTTGTAAAAACTTCTCATATGCTAAAATTTTTCTCCTTACTACTCTCTTTACATCATCATTCCACCAATCGCTCCTCTTCCCTCCTGCACCCACTTTCCTGTAACCACAAACTTCTGATGAACACTCTAAAAACTACATTTTTAAACCTACCCCATACCTCTTCGACCCATTGCCTATGCTCTCATTAGCCCATCTATCCTCCAATAGCTGTTTATATCTTACCCTAACTGCCTCCTCTTTTAGTTTATAAACCTTTACCTCTCTCTTCCCTGATTTTTCTATTCTCCTTTTATCCCCTCACCTTTTTCCCAGTGTACTACAACTGAAATGATTAATATATCGTGGCCCTCTATAAAAATGTAATCCTGAAGTCACTAAAAGCTTTACACCAATACATAATCCAACAAATACTGTCATTTCGCCCCACATCATATTTTTGTATACTTATTTATCCTCTTTTTT